CTTAAATATTGCATTAATCCACTACACTACATACACTAATTTTATCAACCAGTTGGTTCCTCTCCTTCCTTTCCAAGACGCCTCATTCTCTCTACATATTTATTGTCGGCAGCAGTTCGGCATCCTTCCCCCTTATTCAATGTCTCTGCCCCACTCGTTCATCAATTTCCCCCTATGCCTTGCATAATGAGGCTGGATGATACCCTCCTCTTTGAGTGCTCCAGCAATCTTCCCTTCAATGCTATCACAAAGGAAATATTAGCTTAACACCGATTTTAATTACACAGTACTTCAATCGATGTCCAGACAATTTTCTGTACCAATTTGCTTGGTGCTTAGCATCTCCATTGCATTCTGCATGTAGCCAATGCATTTTGATTAGGTATAGCACGCATTTAAGCTACTAAAAGTATTTTTAAGTTTTGAAAACAACTTATAATCGAATGATGAGTAAGTGATGAGTGGGTCTGAGGTGAGGCAAGGGGCAAGTTGACAGTTCAAGTCTACTAGAAGGTAGTAGAGAGTAAGAGGTCTGTCACTCTGTCACACTATTGTTGTAGCTAATCTTTCCTAACCTTTTGTTGAGGCACCAAGGGTTGGTTGCCTTTTGCGATGTTCAGCTGGTACCTCTTTTGGATATTTAGAGGCTATAAAGTTTCTGGGGATTTGATCTGTCGCGTTCACCGTCAGTCTCACATGTATATGACATAAATTTTCTTACCACCCGGATGTGATATTAGTTGCAAAGACTTAATTGCCAAAGGATCATGATTAACGGATCCATAAATAGTACATTGCGCTTTTCTTGACCAATGTAACAAGCAAATATCGGAGTTTGTCTTTGCTGACATCGGTGGCATTGCATTCATTTTTAATCAGCGAGTCTGTCTACCGTGTCAAAAAACGTGAGATTGCATAACTTCGCGTTTTGGTTATTTTTCATGCTAATGACTTGGTGGGTGCCTTAGCTGCAAGAACTTGACCCTATTTACATGCGTGTACAGCTAATACGTTATGAGATGCATGCAAAAAAGTTGCTTTCCGCCACTTTGTCTATGTGCTTTTGCAATTTGTCTTTGAATCCGAACTCAGCCTCCGCTTTTTTGTCTACACCCTTCACGCGCCCCCGTGATTGGTTCTCCCAAAAATTGGCCTTGCGGAGACTCAAATCTGATTGGTTCTTTGGAGTCTTTTAATCATGGCATATTTAATAAACTCTTTTTCTTTTTTTATTTTGGAATAAGGACGGAATAGGCATTTGATGCGTGATAAGGATGCTGGCGGTGGTAGTGATGACGCTGAGGCTGCTGTAGGAATAAAGCAGATGCGTTTCACATATGCGCTCAGTCCAGGAAGGGGAACACAAAGATTGACCTACGGTTTGAAAATTCGTTGGAAAAGACCGTTGTGGGAATTATAAGGCTTGCCAAAATCGATAAGGATGCAGTAACCGGTAAAACCAATTGGTTATAACGTTTGTGTGAAGCGATTAAAACATATAATTTAAGTTGCTATTCACATGTTTTATTTGATTTCGGACATTATAGCCTACGTTAATATCCAGAACCGATTTTTTAAGCAATAAAATGACTTAAACAAAGATCAGAAAGCGATTTTATTCGAGGGTAATGTGAAGATGGGGAGAATTGAATTCCTGGTTTTTTATGCCCCATTGAAACACTCATTCGAGCATGTGACAACACAAAAATGTGTCACAAGCATTCAAAATGTGTCACGAGTCTGTGTGACGTTCTTGTTTATTGGATTTAGTTTTAGGATTACATTAGACCACATCAGATTAAGCTCTACACGTTCGCTCACCGATCACTTGTTTTCATTACGACGGCGCCCTTGCAACTAACTTGCATGTAAACTTGTTGTGATTTCACTTTATGCTTTTTAAATCAGATACACACCACCACCACCACCACCACCATCTGTGCAGTTTTATAAAGTTTTATGCCAAAGTCATGGATATGTCCTACCTGTATCAGCATTGACAGATGCGTGACAGGTGCTCTTCATTGCATTCTGGTAAGTGGGTGGACAAAGTCGTGTTGAAAGCGATGAAATGGTTGTGAGATGCCTTTCGGTTTTGGGAAATCACTCACTGGGAAACCAACAAAAGTCTCAATTTGGTGACTTGCTTTTCAGACCTGTTAAAGACTTGCCTCGTTAGAATGGCAGTTGAGTTGAGCAGTTGAGGAGCTCTCAACACCCTCCACTTCGACCAATCCACTTTTAGACTGAAACTCATAAATTTTTTTTTTCATGATTTTTACAAACTTATAAAAATTTCTTATCAGTGCTGATTTGATGATAAAAGTCAACAAATAGGATTGGAGAAAGTACTTCAAAGTGGCGCAATCTGTTGGATTCTGGCTTTTTTCCACTCGCCTTAAGTGTTGCCAACTTTACAACTTTAGTGCTCTAAAAATCATCAAAAATTAAAAATTGTGGGCGATAAAGTATGAATATATTTTAGGATCTTAAAACTGGTCCTAATCGTCTCAAAGAAGTTGGTATTTCGAGGGTCTGAAAGGTGACATCTTGAAGAGTTGGATTTGCCCCTTCTTGACTGCAAAGCTTGGAGTTAGCGCATAAGAAGACGGGCTTCCTCCTTCTGGCTCCCTGTGGAAGGGCTTGCAGTCAAGTGATAGTGGAACACCAACACTTCATGTGCCTAAATTTGCTGAAGGCAGTCACAGTCAAAGTAGCTTTTTGGTCGTAAAATCAAGACGTGCTGCATTTGGAGACCTTGAGGGTCGGTAGAACCGCCATTGAATCCACTTTTACTCAATCAAGAGCCAAGAATTGGAAGAATGTTTGACTACCTTAATGTAGTCTTCCTTGTTGGACTGTTCTCCACCTTCCAACATCGCATCTTATGCCTGCTGGAAGCAGTGACTCCTGCTTCGGCACAGCACAGAGGTTCTGATTAGTCCACCGTTCAGAGGTGTTTGGGACAGTTGCTGAGGCTTCTCGCATTCCTTGATTTAGCAAATCGAATCAAGACTGTTGAGAGGGAAAACAGGAGTTGGTTTGGACCTTCTCTCATCTACCTTCAATGCGTTGATCTGAGTCTCTTCCAGATGGCAAAATTTTGACTACCATTGAATAGTCATGAAGCTCTGATGACGAGATTTTTTCCTCTCCAAAGGCACTTAAGTTCGGCAAGGGAGAGGAAGAAGAATGAAACTACTCTTGAGCTGGTCGAAAAGACTTGGGCGTTTCTGTAAAAGTCTTTTTTCTCCCCCTATTTTCCACCTTTTGGTCGGCTCAAAACGATGGGAAGAGCTGAGCTTGTAGAGAGGGTAAGTGGAGAAAGAGGAGGGCTTTATTCACCACCCTCTGTCATCATTCTCCCCACTTCCACTCCTCCTCCTCCTCCTCCTCCGTGGGTTTCTCAAATGCCAGTCTTTCTAGTGCCAATGACAACATTTCATGCCAAGTGGAACCGACACGCATCTGATTGTGCCAGATAACTCTTCCACCTTCCTCACACAATGCTGCTCATCCCTCGTCTTCACTCACTTTTTATTACCCTCCACTGACAAAGAAGGTTTTCATACCCCCATATATCTCTCCTTTACTCACTTGGCTTTACTCTGCATGGCATTAGTGACACTGACACATTTAATTTTACCTTATGATCGAACTTACCGGGTGGAGGGACGGAGAGGGTGGAATTTAGGAGCCTTATAAATTGCCGCCAAGTTTAAGCATAACCTTGTGCGGCACAAAATTAAAAGGTGTCTTATTCCCCACACTTTACAATGGCATTGCACCTTCTCCACCGCGTTGTCTATGGAGGTCTTTTAAGAAGATGCCAAAACGAGGCACGCATCTACCGTTCCATTAACTGCCTAGGTCTTTATAACAATTTGTTGGATGCACTCTTCTTCGTGGAGAGGGCTTATAAGGCACTGCAAAGCTGTTGAGCGATGACACCTAAAAGAGGAGGCTGCACCA